TGGTGCTGGGGGATTGAACCGCTGACCCTGTGCTTTGCTAAGCTTGTTCTAAGTAGGTGCTTTAGACCACTGAGCCATCTCACCAGCCCAAGTTTTCTATTTTCTAGAGTTGATCTTGCCTGGGTCTGAATCTCTAACCCAGATACTTAATAACACCATGGTTTACAAGTTACACAGCCCATTTATACCAAAAAAGAAGAAAATGAAAAATACTACTAGTGCCCATTTCTGTTGCAATTAAAGTTGAAGAACAATTTACCTGTGCATTGCAAGCACTTACATATTAGCTATTAAAACTAGAAGCAGATATGAGCACTTTAATGTCAGAAAAAGGAATCACCTAAAGAAAAGGAATTTAGATAAGGGCAACAGCACGTGATAGACCTAGTGTAGTTGCAGTCTTGAGGCAAGGCCTAAGAAGAGGACATTTGACAAGGAGCTTGAACAAGTAGGAGCAAGTCAGGCAAAAGTCTGTAGAAAGAGTATTTCAGAGGGCGGGACAAAGGTCCAGGTGCTAGGACAGGTGGCAGAGGAAAACGATGCAGAGGACAACCGTCTGCCAATGCTACCTTGTGCTTAAATATTTTTTAGAAATGAAAAATACAATGCCTCTATCTAGATTAGCACTGCATTAAAGCCTGTACATGTTGACAGCAAGTGGCATCTAGAACGACTACAGCTTCACACAAGTTTAGTTAGGATTCTGCCACCTAAGGAGGCAGGGTAGGTTTTGCTGTTGTAAGGTTACAGAAGGATCGCTGGGCTTTCTGCACTCTTTGAATTTTAGGATTACAGATAAATGGTGGCGAACTTCTAATAATGCCCTCCTAGGGGCTATTTGTAGGATCAGCACTCTGGAGAACACGTGTAAGTCAACACCCCCTCCTAAAAATCCGAATAATTTTGCCTCAGCTGTTGTTTTTGAGATAGTTCGTATTTGATCCTGTTGGATAGTCTACCAGAGAGTTTAAGAATCCTCTCTCCAACATAGGTGCAGTTAAGACACTGCCCCTGAGTAATTTTCATGGAGGAAGATAGGGGTGGCGGGCGCCTTGGGGTTCACTCAAGGCCCACCCAGTGACCATAATGACCTCATACAAAGAGGAAAACTTATCTATTTCTCCCTCTGTTCAAACAAATTTTATGTTGGGGAAAACACAGCTTAGAGCTAGAGCGGGAGTTCAGCCTCAGTGTCTCAGGGAGGAACTCTGACTCCCAGGTCACTTGGATGTCCCCAGCCCTCAGGAACAGATGGCACTTACCCTCAGCGACATTTGACATCAAAAGGCAGACAGCGCCTACATAGCAACCTGAACAATGTCCTCCCTTCAGTCGAGCGTTCATTTAAAGCTTACAGGCAGAGGCTTCGAAACCTTGACGGCTGCACCCCGCATCCGAGCTCCTGGGCGGGCGGCGCGCGGGTCCCCTGCGCCCCTTGCCGGGGTCTCCCGCAGCGGCGCCGAGGTCGCTCGCCAGCCCGCCGCCGGGCTCCGGCCGCCAGGGGGCGCTGCGGCCCCCTCTCCCGGGAGCGGCCGAGCCAGCCCGGTGGGTGTTTCTCTCTCCGTCTCGCGCTCTCTCCTCTCGGCCTCACATCCGGGTCTGGAGCGCGGCCGCCGCTGTCAGTGTCGGTGCGGGCGCGTCGGGGCCGGGCCGGGGCGCCGTAAATGGCGGCGGCGGGAGGCGGAGCGGCGGCCACGCTCAGCCCAGAGCCCCCGAAACTTTAGACTCGAAGCCCCACAACTTTCCGGGAAAGTGCTGCCGCTCCGGGGGCGTGGACGGAAGGGGAAGCCGAGGCGGGAAGTCTGGGGAGCTCGGCGGGCAGCCGGGGAACCTCGAACCCGCGGCGGGGGCGGAGGCGGAGTCCGCCGAGCCTCGCGCGCCGCGCCCCCGCCTCCTTCCCGCGCCCTCGCGGCGGCGGG